CGCTGCTATCAAGCAACATCTTATTGCCACAAACCCTAATGCACCAGCACCAGATGTCCAGCGCTTACTTCTGAAAGGCAAAGCCTTGGCGGATAATAAGCTGTTGAAAGAGTATACGGTCAAAGATGGGGATACGATCAATTTGATGGTGAAGCCTGGCGTGGAATGGAATCCTTCTGCACCGTCTGCGCCATCTATCCAAACTCCACAGCCCTCCTCGTTACCCATCAGCTCGTCTACTGGCTCACTATCCGGCTCCGTTTCTGGCGGGAAGAAACATGGTCACCAACGAATCCCATCGGTCGTATTATCCCCATCTCCGTCCCACGATGAGCTCAATGCCGATACAAAGACAAAAGACGTCTTGTTGACACTCGATACGGATAACCTGGGGAGTGGCGGTGTCCCGAAAGAGACTTTGGGCTCGTATCATTTGACGATATCGAGCCCGGCGTTTTGGGAGAGGATGATTGGGTTTTTGAGGTGAGTTGTATTGCAGTTTAGGTCTTGATGATCAGATAATAACGGTATTCGTTGTTGTAGGAGCGAGTTTACGCGCGAAGCAGACGCGCTTACTGCGTTTGAGGATTTCCTTGCTGCGAGTAAAGGGTCTTTGACGGCGAGTGATATTGCCAAGATTAGGGATCAGGTTGGAGTTGTTGGGATGGCCGGAACGTAGAGTGGGTTTAATGTGTAAGTGGGGGCCTCATTGTTGAGGGCCAACTTCGGGATGTCGGAATGAACCGAAGCCTAGTTATCGCGGGTCTTTGGTAGAGGTTATTGTACATTGTCTAGGCCAAAATCTGCTATTGCGAAGGCCACAATTGTTTAACGCTCTTTCTGATAATGGACTCAATGATAAAGCTAGCCTTGGTCTGAAAGTGATGCAGAAACTCAAGGTAGGTCCGTATACGTCGCGGAGTGAGAAGTATCTTGGTGTGACGATTTTTACCCTTTCTTTCGCTGGAACGACTAATATCAAACACTCGGCTCCGAGGATATCGATGATTTTAGAAATTCGAAGTGAGGTTTGCGTCTACGAGTTTAATCCGGTAACATTGTAGACTCGTGCCAGTAGCTTCTGTGAGTTTTGATGATTAGTCGATCAAAGCCTTCAGAGAAATCACCACCGTGCAAAAGGTATTGGGTTCGAGTCTAGTAACATTGTATCTTCAGGATCAGCATACAAGCCAGACTAAAAAAGAAGCAAGCACTCGAGTGAACGAGTCTCTCTAATTGAGTATTCTGAATGATCGAATTCTGGTGAGTACAGTATGCCAGAAACTCTGTCAAGGTCTAGTCAAGATCCTGTACAGTTCAAGCAAGTTCTTGATCGGTGGGACGCAGATCTGGACAGTGCTTACCGTACACATTCATCGACAAGCCTTCAGCCAAGCACGATAATGAAAGCACGATAATGAGTTTGCTCCTGCCCGTTCTGCCAATTGTTTAGTATTACCATGTACCATCTCCCATGTACCATCTCCCTGTAACAAAAAAGTAGGACTCGAATTTATCAAGTGGAAAATGATTCGACCCAGGCTCGAACTGAGGACCTTCTGTGTAACAAGTAACTCCAACGGGAGGTCCACTGTTAGACAGATGCGATAACCAACTACGCCATCGAACCATGCGTTCACTGGGTTTGTGCCCCCAAGTAAGAGATATGCTCTTCATACCAGTTCACATCGAAGGAAGGAGAGAGACAGGGGACGAGAGGGAAGAGCGTAAGTGGTAAGCGTATAAAGGAGGCATAAGAAAGAAGCTGAGAGGGACAGGTGTAGGGAGAAGCAGAAAAGGTATCAGATTCTAGCCCAAGATTCAACAAAATCGCATACCATTGACCATCTGAGATCCACCTTGTAGTCCGCGCGCGTTTACGATGCGAGTTTCGATGATCCCGAATGGTTTAGGCCATCCGAGTTCCTAGACTCCTGCCTAACGCTAAGTTACATTATACCGGAGGATGTATGGGAGAGAGCATTGAGCGAACCTGTACCCTTTTGGTTCAAGTTCTTCATCAGCGCCAAGACTACAAGTGTCCAAAAGAGTGGAAGAATGATGACAAGCCAATGGCTTGTACGGTGGATGAAATTTTCGCGACCGCTCACTTTCGTGATAATTTAGACCCGATGCAAAGCAAAAGGAGGGGTTGAATCCGCGCCAGAGTTAATACATGATACATCCATCCAAACAGCTTGAGCTCCCATTCGAGAGCATTGATGTATAACCGGGTTCGTCAAACGGAAACACAAAAACTATCTTATCCTAGGGGATTCATTTTAGGCAACGTGTGCTTGATAGTCGTATTAACCCAGGAATCTTGTGCGGCGTACGAGACACCGTAAGTTCGAAGTAAATTGAATCAGGCGCGGAGGTTATAGAGTGCATCTCGGACTTGATGTTTTTACCGAGTCCGCAAGTCCGCTCCTCCCAAAATGGTCTCGTCATCGATTATGAGCTTGAACGGGTACTGTCGTCCCGCTGGGCTAGTATTAGTTGGAAGACTCATGGAATGCTGTTCAGAATCAGAACACGACCAACCAAATGAGCGTTGCTGATTTAGATTTTCGATCATGAGCTGGAGGAGAAGGAGCAATCGCTGGCGCTAGTAGGAAACATTAACCGCAACGCAGTTCTTCTATTACTTTGGGTGTCAAGAGCTTGTCTGCAAGAGCTGAATCTTCAATCAGCAATGGATTTATACCTCAATCTATAAATCTATGAACCATTTACGGCGAGATCAACGACTCAAGCGTTATCAATTTATACCTGGGCATCTACTAATCTAGCTCCAAAAACCAAGAGCATTCGTCCAAGACCTTTGCCCAATTACCCAATTTCATCGTAGGAACACTCAATCAAATTGCACTTGTAAGGAAATATTTACCTTGAGACTCGAGAAGTGTTCGAATCCGAGCTAGACACAGATAAGGCGCTAGACCATCCTTTATGGTGCCAGATATCCTCAACATAGGTCGGAAAGGAGACGGGAGGTAAATCGGATCGAGACGCGAGAATGCGTTTCGCTTCTAGCCAAGTAGATCCACCTGTACGAAGCGACCGAGCATCGATGCCTAATAAAACAATGTACTGATCCACAAACTTGGCAAAGCTTGCAAACCGACTCGACGACACCAAGTCGGTTGCAAGATGGTGGACCATGTAGTGGATGATTCGGGTTAGCGAGCCCGCTGTTTCGGATACTCTGGTACGAAGAAGATCTGCTTGTGTGGGGCGCTCAATCCAGTCCTCAAAGTCATCGAGGAACAAGGAAGCTTGCTTCTGTAGGGCTGGTGAGGATGGAGGCCAGCAATTTCCGAAAATATCCAAGAGTGGGAACACGTCATCTACACACGCTCGATCGGTGGAGAGGTGGTTCCGAATGGACGCGATGATTTGGCCCCAGAGCTCTAGATATATGATTAGCCCAAGTTCAAGCGACTAAAAAGTATAGTCACCTTCACCCAAGTCAGGGCCTGCCAGTGTAGCCACATTACACAACAAGCTAGATGCACAGGCTGAAGATTCAGCAGCAGCAGTAGGGTTGTTGAGCTGACGGAGTGACAACTCTACCGCAAACCTCCGTATAGCAAAATCCGACTCGTCCCAGGGGTGGGGATTCAAGAAAGTTTAGGTTCAGAGAATCGCGGGAGCTCTCCGAATCCTGGTGCGTTGCGTACGCAAACTCCTGGGTGGAGCAGCTCTGTAGGCAGTGGAAGATATGCCTTGTCATCGCAAAGCTGTCACCAAACGTTCCTATAACCCATCGCAGTCCACGCCGAAGATATGGCGTGCTAGCATCTTCAAGATCCAAGTAATACACTGTGCGTAAAATGTGAGATCAAACGACACCCAATCTGAATAATGGGGCATAGAAAGTCTGTTTCTGGAGGTGAGGGAGCTAATGCTGAGGATGAGCCTGTGAAATAACCATGACTGAGGTGATTTGTACGGGCAAGGGAATATAGCATTAACGCTTTGTCTTTGCTTCATCAAAATATAACATGATGGTAAGACCGGAGGTCGCCACGACGATAAACATACTCAGTCCAACAACCGCGGTGACCAGCCCAGCCACCACTGGATTTAAACTCCAGAGGAGGTCGAGCATGCCTGCAAAGAAAAGGACCAGTGCGAGCTGTAAAAGGAAAGGAAGGTACCGACGATTCCCGGAACGCCCATTTTTTCAGGCTCTCATAACGCATTTGACGGAGCTCGAGAGCTAGGTGGTGGCCTACGGAGGCATCTTTCTGGTATTCACGAAGCCACTGTTTACAGAGAATACCGACTAGCACCGTGGCGAGGCTGATAGTTAGACTGAGGAACCAAAACACGTTTATACGGATGGATGCAGGTGCCGGCGTAAACGCTGATACTGCCGGTGCGGGAGATGTTGATCCATTGAGGCGTTCAGAAATATACACGAGCTGCGCGAAAATAGCGCTGTTTTTATCTTGTTGAAGCCATTGGTAAGATTCGGTGGCAAAAGCGGTAACTGTCGCGGAGAAAAGGCCAGCCTAAGTAGGGATAGTCAGAGCTGAGCCACGTACATAGTGGAGATCACTGGAACGCACAAAAACAAGAAGAGTGTCGATGTCCTCTCTCCATCCTTTGCATTTTTCGTCATCATACGTTCTGACAGATTTGAGGCATTCCGTCCAAGGATCTCCTATATTGGGAGGCGCGCAGCGATAGGGTTGATCTTCTCTCCATAACAATGGCTATGGCAATGAGATAAGTTGGATATCAGGGAACCTGCCGAGCCTTACTGATTCTCCCGTCAAGTCTGCCGCAGATGCATCTCCAGATTCTTGGTCATCTGAGGGTGCGGCTCCCTTGAAATCTGGTCAATAATCAAGCCTGTCGAGTAAAGAAGACACTTACCGAGCTCATATTTTCAATATTTTTTGTCGCTCCGAGTTCCAAGGTCGACATGACAGTGGTTGAACAGCTTTGTATCGTGGCGACCGAAGAAGCTCTGTGGGAGTATATGCCCATTCGGAATGCGCACTGGACGCGCTCACTGTCGCGAGAGACGGGGCTCTTGTTTCATGCTTGAGGCTAGTATTATATACGTGCAAATCCCGGGGTTCATCGTATTGTGTTCGGTAAAAACGAGTGGATGAAGTAAAAAGCAAAGCTGAGGCGCTTATTCAATTTAATTTAGCGCCGGCCGCTAAAGTCTTCTTTCCGATGCTACCAGAAGAGCTTCTTCATGTTGTAGTCGGATGGATCGCGTCTGATACTCTCTTCATTGAACGCCAACTACCCCGATCTCTACTGGAAATATGCAGCGGCCAAGCTTCTTCCACTATCGGTGGTTAATCGGCAACTGCGAAGAATCTGCTTACCATTTCTTTTTGCTCATGTCGAGATAAAAGACGAAAAAGACGTGGAAAGACTCAACGATTGGTGTTTTTCTCATCAGACCTTTGCCATGTCTATCAGGTAAGTAGACAGAGAGACCATGTATTTCGTCAACCATGAGCTGGCTCATACACTGCGCAGGCCACTCAACGTCCGCCGATCTAAACAAAGGCCGAATAATATCGAGGACATTGATAGTGATATGTTCAGCCAGCTGCTCCATCATCTGAGCCTCTCTCAGATCAAAATTTATCCCAGTGTGGCCTTGCTCAGCGTCATAAATTGCCACCCCGTCCCAACTGTCATTCAGTACTCAGTTTGACGAATCGGACATATCCAACATCGTTGTTGACTGGGGCAAGACTTATAATGTTGAAACCCTTGATGAATATCTCGCACACGGTTTACAAGCGAGGTCTGTACAAGTGGATTGCAAGTGGAAGTATTTGAAGATCCAGGAAAACTTTTTGGAGATCGGAAAATCCATGGCCTTCGCGAAATGACGCTCTCCTGGAATGTACAGGATACTCTGTCGCTGTTATGGCTTTCCGAATTCGCGCGCAGACACCCACTGTCGAAGAAAATCATTTTTGACATTGTTTTCGATTGTCCTGTCCCTTTCGTGGATTTATTCATTGAAAAGGCCCGTGGAGAGGGACTAGATAATACTATAGTAATTCGGAGCGTCGCGGTTACTCGAGCCGCCCACACTACGGCCCTAGGACCGTTTACCGAATGGTACGTCTGGGATGCATTTATGCATCTCAGAGTGGATGACAGACAAGCTTTGGTCTCTCCTGCATGCGTGCTTCCCTGGAATCTTCGCCTTGACTCTTGAACTTGATCCTGGATCCTCTGTCCCTTATGTATGTTGCTCAGTGCTCTCTTGCCAGACTTTTCAGATTAACAAAAATTTAGGATGAATTTGTTCACTCACTAGGTCGCATCTCTTCACTTCAAGTAGTAACCTTTATGGGTCCGCTACTCAACCTTTTGCACATGGGAAACGACTCTAGTTTTGTTGAACTGGAAGCTGCTTTGATCTAGTACACATCTTGCATTGCACGTCAGATTCCTAGCATTGAGGCATTCTACATCAATAACCTTTAGGGAGAGCTATGCACTCTTAGTGGATGGCTCAATGTGCAAGTGGAATCAGGTAGTTTCAAAGGATGTCACACTGTAGGGCCCCTCCGGCACTATGATGCCTGGTGCAAAGGAGCTGAATCTCCAAAATATTGCAATAAGACCTTCCGTGTT